ATCAAATCTAAACTCTCTCCAAACATTAGAGGAAAGCCATTAAAATTCTCATAGTCTTGCTTCTCCTCCCCATCCTGCATCCTCTGTCCTTTGCTCATACCTACCCAACCATCCAGCTGGCTCTGTGCCATTCCCCACATTGCCTTGTCTTTGTGGGTGCTGGTCACTTTGCCCAGAGATCCCATTTCTTTTCTCTGCTGATGAATTCCTACTCATCTTCTGAGATTTAGGCCCAGAGACATCTTTCTCAGCAGAGCAAAGTCTTTATTTATCCTGCAGCCCGGAACACCTTTCATTTATAGTATTTAGTAATACGCATTTGATTTACCAGTTTATGTCTCAGCAAATTCTAAGCTCGTCTTGGTCTCTGTCTTTTTCCTCTTTTTGACTCTAGCATTTAGCACAGTACTTGCTATTTCTAGGGCATCTGAGAAATACTTGCTGAAAGAATGAATAAATGAATGAATGAATGAATCTTAATCAAGGTTAAGCAAATGCTATATAGCTTTCCCTGAATCAACCACTGCAGCCACAAAATTGGGATATTCTTACTGATTTAAGTGAATTAGGGCCCAACCCTAACGTGGGAAAGGCTGATAGCTGGATCGGGGAGAGTAGTTGCCAGTGCACTTGAAGATACTCAGAGAGGCCGGCTTGTCCCAGGAGGTGAAGCAAGCTCACTAGGATGAAACAAGCAGGTCCGACTTACTCCAATTTGCTTCATCTAAGCCACGACCTTAAAAAACGTTCTCAGAACAGGTCCTCACATAACCCTTCCCTAGCACATAGCAGAAGAAAGCTCTGGATTAAGGATCAAATGCTCCTGACTTCTGGTTTTGGCTTTGTGAAGACACTGATTCTTTGTGATCCTCAGCTTTCTCTCTCAACTACAAAGTGTGGACAATGACACCTGACACCTGTGTTTCCATCACTGTCAAGAGAGACCAGTGAAATGACCAGTGTGGAAGCTCTTTCAAAGCATCAGAAACACATCTGAAAAGGCTACTTGTAATTGGACACTCTTCTACACATACATACTCTTCATCTTGAGAGAGTGGAACACTAACTGGAAAGCTCAGTTTCCCTTCGTTCACCCACTCCAGCCAGTCGGACCTTCTCTTGGTTCGTCTTACGTGACACCTCAATCATGATGCTTCTAGCTCAAGGCATGGAAAATCCTTGAGCAGCGCAACATTTATTCTCCCCTGAGAAGTGGTCCACAGACAGAGTGGGCTCCAGGTGCAATATGTCAGGCCCAAGCTTCCTCCACTTTGGGTTCTGATCTCTCCAGTGTTGATCTCAGTCCTAGCTTTGCTGCAAGGCAGCTACAATGGTCCTAAGGAATCACAGAAAGAGAGGAACTTTTCTTCACATATGTCTATTTTTTTAGGTCTAGGAAAGCTTTCCAAGAAAAATTCTCAATTTTTGGTTAGAACTGGCCACATGCCCACTTCTAAACCAAGAGGGATAGGATTTGTGTGATTGGCTAAGATCATTTAGAATTTACTCTTAGGCTAAGATAAGACTATTTTCTACATGGCCTCACAGTAGAAAATGATCTGAAGGTGACCAGGGTCTGATAGCTCAAAGAGCAGGTGACTTGGTGTTGGACAGGCAGCTCACAGAGGCTGTCAGAATCTGCTCCGATCCCAGAACATGACTTGAATGCCCATCTATGGCTTCTGACCATCAGCTCCTGCATGCCTTGTTAGATTTTGGTGATCTCTGGAGCTTGCTTTTCTGCCCAGGCAGTCAGCCAGAAGAGCTAGGGGATTCATGTTCCCACTCTGGGAGCAACCATCACCTCAAACAATAACTGACGACAGCATATATACTAGCCCCAGTTTCCTCATCCTTAGGGTAAGACAACTATCTGGCATTTGCTCTTCCAGAATTTCCCCAGGAGAACCAAGCTTCACTTGCTCATTGTGGTATTTGGCTTGACCACATATCCTGGGTTGTTGCTTCCTTTCCCTGTCTCATTTCTTTTTTTTTTCTTTTTTTTTAATTTTTGACAGGCAGAGTGGACAGTGAGAGAGAGAGACAGAGAGAGAAAGGTCTTCCTTTGCCGTTGGTTCACCCTCCAATGGCCGCCGCTGCAGCCGGCGCACCGCGCTGATCTGATGGCAGGAGCCAGGATCCAGGTGCTTTTCCTGGTCTCCCATGGGGTGCAGGGCCCAAGCACCTGGGCCATCCTCCACTGCACTCCCTGGCCATAGCAGAGAGCTGGCCTGGAAGAGGGGCAACCGGGACAGAATCCGGCGCCCCGACCGGGACTAGAACCCGGTGTGCCGGCGCCGCAAGGTGGAGGATTAGCCTATTGAGCCACGGCGCCGACCTTTTTCTTTTTTTTTTAAAAAGATTTTATTTACTTATTTGAAAGGCAGAGTTACAGAGAGACAGAGACAGAGACAGAGGCAGAGAGAGAGAGAGAGAGAGAGAGGTCTTCCATCTGCTGGTTCACTCCCAAGATGGCCTCAATGGCTGGAGCCGTGCAGAACTGAAGCCAGGAGCCAGGAGCTTTTTCCAGGTCTCCCATGTGGCTAAGGGATCCAAGGACCTGGGCCATCTTCTACTGCTTTCCCAGGCCATAGCAGAGAGCTGGAATGGAAGTGGAGCAGCCAGGGCTTGAACCGGTGCCCATATGGGATGCCAGCACTGCAGGCACTGGCTTTATCACTATTGCACAGCGTGGGCCCTCCCCACCCCCCCATCTCATTTCTTAACTTCATCATGGTGCCTCCTTCATTGCCTTTAACCTGAGTTGGCTTCTTGGAAAGATGTTCTATGCCCTATGTCACACTCCCTCTTGGATCCAGTGACTTTGTGCCTAAGTTCCCATCTGCTTGGACTGTGTTTCCCCTTTCTTCTCTCCTGATGAGCTCTTGCTTTCCATTCCAGTTTCAGTGAAAATGTCACTAATAGCTTCCCCTTGGAAGCCTCCATTGACTTCCTGTCTACACAGCTGTCTCCCAACACTTGTCCTCTTGTTTTGTCCTTGTGCTTACGCTGACTGTAATCAGATTAGCTCTTTATGTAATTATTTGCTTTCGTTATTTATTCCCAACTAGAATGTGACATGCTTGAGGGCAGGGGCAATGTTGGCTCACCACCATTTCACTGGCACTGGCACAGTGTCCAGCACAACATACAGAGTCAAGGACTTCCTGGCTTTCAGAAAGATGAACATGTGACAAACTAAAGACAGACTATGAGGGTCATTCACACAGTAAAAAGGACCCAAACTTCGAATGAAAAAAGAACTTTTACCCACATGATTCCCACATGGATCAACACTGGCAAAATATAACTTGTATACCTAAGAGGGAGGATCATTGCTAGAGGGAGAATCTTTCTATAGCTATAGAAGATATTTTAATAACTTTTTTAAAGAACAAAGGTCCTACTCAAATCCACTATTCATTCATTCATTCCATACCTATTTATTGGGCACTATATAGGTATAGTAAGACTCTAGAATGATCCATCACCACCATCAACTCGTTTCAAAAGCCACCAGAGATATTATATTATATAGAGGATATTCCAGGAACTCTGTAGGTCTCCCCTTAGCTTTATTTCCAGTTCAGATTTTTGGCTTTCATTAAAGAAGTAAGGAACAATCTTACGAAGTCAATCTCTACATTTGCTGGAAAAAGGATGAGGATATTATCTATTTCATCACTTGGTGCCCACATGGAAGAAATTTTTTCTGGTATGAAGTAGCATGAAGCAGGGTAAATATGAACAAACATGTCTACTTGCATTTCTGCCACTCAGACCCTCCTTCACAAATCCCTAAATCAGGGGATAAACCCAGATTTTGTGGGGGCAAGATGTTTATTTATGTCACTTGGAATCCCTCTTTGAAAAAAAGTATAAATCTACAAATAAAAATGTGACACAGATTGCTGGAAGTTACCCGCCTAAGTGAGGAGCTCAGAGGTTTGAGTTTCATTATTTTCACTGCTAATCAAGCAGCTAACCTTAATTCACTAAAAATGGTTCTTCCCCATTCCATTGCTCTGCCACATTTGTTTTGGTTTCTATGCCTTGTTTACACTGCTTTCTCACTTGGAAGGTCTTTCATACTTCTTCAATCTCTGGTGTTTGACTCTGCCCTTCAGAAAAGCTTTTCCTTTGCTGACAGCTCACAACTCTAGGTTTAGAGCCCAGGATGCTGTGTCATGAATTGTTTTATTCAAGGTGTATATGCCATGCCTATTCCAATTAGACAACCAATTTTCTAGGCACGAAGACTGTACACATAAATTTCCTACCCCAACACCAACCACAGTTCTGGTCATAGCAATTGGGAAAGCAAAAGTTGAAAAGTATCAGAGAAGCAAAACTATGGGATTTGGCATTAGCCAGACTTGACAAAGCCATAGCTATGTTACTCACTAGGGTGGGGCCTTCCATAAGTCACTTAACCTTTCTAAATCTCAGTTTTCTCACTGGTTACATGGCATAATAATGATATTTATTTCACATTATTATTGTGAGAATTAACTAAAAGCACTTATTCATTCACCAAGTATCTATTTAGTCCCTACCTCGGGTTATTTTTGACCTCAGAAATTTGGAATAAATGTGAACATGAAATACTCTCTGTGTGAAGTATGCCATAGTTGAGATGGAAGATGGGAAGTTATGATACAGGGTCAGCCCTCAGCAGATACAGAAGCTGAGCATGGAGCCAGACACATAGTAAATGTTCAATATATAGTTGCTGAATATATAACAGATGCAACATGGGCATTCTGAAGAGAAAATCATCCATTTTACAAAATAAATATCATCTCAGATTTGCAGGATCATCTCTCTATAAATATGATAGACATGATGCTCCCTGGAAAGTCACAAAATGCAACATATAAAAGAACATAAAATCAATATGAGAAAGTAGGCAGTGATTAGATAAGGAGAGGGGACAGTAAAAGTGGAGGAAGAAAGGCCTAAAGGATGCAAGAAGGACTAAGGGACACCCATTGACCCACCTGGCCAAGTGTGCATTCCATGGCCCCAAGGAAGTCAGCCTCCTTCAGTCCGTTGTGGTTACTGCTGATGTCATGGACTTCAAACCGCAGGCGTTGGACTTCTTCAAAGTAGAAATCCACAGTAAACAGTTTTGAGTACACTGGGTTTATGCAGGTGCGAATCACCTCTGTCCGGTCAACCTGCAAGGGAAGGGAAAGAAAAGACTGATCAAGGATTAGGACTTTATTAGTTCCCTTTCAAGTGAAGCAATCTCATGGTGCTTCCGCTTCTTCTAAATCATAAATGCTCTCCTCATCAAGTCACCTGATCAACAGTTCAGAAGCCTACAGGCAGTTCCTGCAAGGAGGGGGCCAAGTGTCATGGAGGAAAATCTTATTAGGCATTATAAAGAATATGCTTTCCATCTGAGTATTTAGAGCACACTATATTACTTGGTGACAGGGCAGGATGGATCAATAATTCATGGCTGTCTGGACCTAGGATGAGAAAGAGTCTGCCACCACATCTGGGCTCTGAAGAAAGGAAATCTGTAATCAATTAGTGATGCCTGATGGGCACAGTAATAGAAAAATGGCAGGGTAACCAATTTCACTCAATATGAGTTCTCTAACCCTTGGTTCCAAGCATAATGAAACAGAAAGGAAGACAACTGCCTTTGGGCCCAAGTATTCCCTTTATTGTGTGCATAATGTTTACCTGCTGCCCAATTCCATGGGGCTCAGTTTCCTCACAAGTAAAACATTAGAGAATTAGAGGATGAAAAGACCCTTCTAGCTCTAATATTCCATGACCTGATTCTGTTTGCCTCTGTGATAAATCTCCATTTGCCCCCTCTCTGAGGTCCATCTTTGCTGCTTTCTGTCCTACTCTGTGACTCAGGCAGCTGACCTCCATTGACTGAATTTCATGGGCTTCCTCAATCTCCAGGTTCTGGCTTCTCAGAACCAGTCAAAGGGAAGAGTTATAGGATATCAGAGAGGGACAGTGCAGAGAGAAACAGGGATGCCTCCACAGACATGGTTTCTGCTGGCAGATTTCCACTGTGGGAGCTTCTGCTGGCATCTGGTAACGCAGTCACTCTCTTCCTCTATCTTCAGCCTTCAGGGTGAAGGATGGCAAAAATTTTCCCTGTTGCTAGCCCTGATGTCTCAAATGGCTTATTCCTTTGTTAGCTCCCTTAACCCTACCCATGTTCTTGCAAACTGCTCCTTTGCAAAGGGGCTGACACCTGTTTAGGTTAAAGTCTCTGGATATGCCATCAATTTATTGCTGGGATTCTTACTATTAAGCTTCTTTTCCTTTGTAGTGGTCACAAGTAAAAATACACAAAATAACTTATATTCTAGGAAGCTTTAAAGGACCAAGTTGAAGATAACTGAAGATCCAATAGCATCTCTCAACCAGACACCTCACTCATATTTTACAAATCAACTACAGCCTACTTTCAAATAGAAACAAGGTTTACTGAATTCTTCCTAAGCGTCATTCATTAGCACAGACCATGGAAACATTTCTCTCATTTTCATATAGCAAAGGCAAAAGTCTTTCAGTAAACTAAAAGGAAGACAATCCCTGACCGTATCACAGATGCCTATGCTGCCCAGGAAAGACCATTTGATAACTGCTTCAGTCTGACCTGACATTCTCAAGTTCAGTGTTTTGTCCTTGGCCCTGACACCCTCCCCTTTCCCCCCCTGCCAGCTCTGTGTGAGAGACAGGTGTGTCCTTTAACGAACTCTACCGTTCTTGGTGGGATGAACAACCCAGGTACCCAGGGTAAGGAGCACATGGTCCTCGTTATGTCCCTGTCCAACAGAAAACAAAAAGCAGTGGAAAATCAACTTCCAGCCTGGTATTGATTGAGATTTTACAAGTTACTGCTCAGACCAATGGTTATTGAATTATTCTGGCTTCCCATGAAGACCCAGCTTGTATTTGGGCTAAGTTTTATATCCTTATATTATGTTTGGGCTGAGGTAGGGCTGATTATGCCTGTGGGATAATTGTATGAACATAAGGATTTTCCATACTGGCCTAACTTTGTTTCAGTTGTTCCAAGATCATGGTTCCGAGTAATGGTATATAATTCAGAGGTCACAAATTGCTAGTCTGCAAGTATAAACCAAGTTGGAGGTATTTTATTTGTCCTGCCAAATGTATTTTCCCCTTCACTTGCAAAATAAAACAAGGGCTGTTTTATTGTGTTCCTTTCTGAAAAAAAAAAAATCAGAACATCTGTTATCTGTGTGCCTTCTGAAAAACAAAACAGAACATCTGGCAACCCTGGGCCACATTCCTACTTGGGAACAACTGCGGATACACCTCCCAGACAGGGTGTCCTCCCTGTAGTCCTCAAAGGGTCTGCCTAACCCTTTGTCCTGGCTCCTAGAGGCATTTCAGCAACATGTGTTACAAATTCATGCACTAACTGATCATGTGATAAGAAATTTAATGAAATTTATATGATACTTTATGACAGAGAATTTCAAAATAACCCAAGAATATAAATTACAGGTGGATCTGAGGTCTTGAGGGCACAGAGAGGTGTCCTCTCTCCTTGTGGATGGAAGAAGAGAATCCAGGCCGGTGCCACGGCTCAATAGGCTAATCCTTCGCCTGCGGCGCCATCACCCCAGGTTCTAGTCCTGGTCAGGGCACCGGATTCTGTCCCGGTTGCTCCTCTTCCAGTCCAGCTCTCTGCTCTGGCCCAGGAGTGCAGTGGAGGATGACCCAAGTCCTTGGGCCCTGCACCCGCATGGGAGACCAAGAGAAGCACCTGGCTCCTGGCTTCAGATCGGCGTGGTGCGCTGGCCACAGCACGCTGGCTGCAGTGGCCATTGGGGGATGAACCAACGGCAAAAGGAAGACCTTTCTCTCTGTCTCTCTCTCTCACTGTCCACTCTACCTGTCAAAAAAAAAAAAAAAAGAATCCAGGCTGATTTAGATGACAAGAGACAGGAGATGGAAGCTGACATCTCTGCTACTCTGTTCTCACCAGCCTGAATGGCACAAATGAGTGGCGTGCACCAATCCTGCTGCTTTTCTTCTCACTTTCTGATTTCCAAATGGTGTTCCCACACAGCTATACAGTTCAAGCCACACATCTCAGACACCCTATCCAAAGTAAGCCTTCACTCAGCTGAGTGACTCGGTGTTTCAATGGAAATGACAAGATGGAAAGAAATGAAGTCACAGACATTTGCATTACCACCAGGTAATTTCTAAGGATCACCACAGTGCCAACAGGAATCCTGAAGTGTAGCCTTTAGTGATGATGAGGAAGGGCTGGCAATGCTGAGTGTGTATTTGATGCTCTGCACTCCCAGCCATTATGGGGATCACTGAATCTGGGGGAGGCTGAAGCCAGGTTTCATCAGAACAACAGAGACTAGGACAGTACATGTGTCTCATGGAGAGCATTCAAAGTCAAGGCCGGTATTTCCAAAAGATCATCCGCTTGTTGGTGCTACCAGATGCATCAGCTCTCTTTAAAAACTCAGACTCCTGTTCCCTATCCAAGGTGATTCTGTCTCAGTGAGTACAGAGCAGGACTGAGAAATGTGTATTTTTCAAGGGCCCTGGGCAATTTCTATGTGGGAGTATCTGTGTAGAAGAAATGAGGAGATACAGACTCTACCCTGTGCTCTCGTGGGGGTGAGGTTATATCATCAAGGTTTACTCTGGTCCTGCTGGCCCTCTGCTACCCAGTCTGCAAACACGTGGATGCTCATCTATGTCCTCCCTGGTCATCACGATGGGTCCATTCACATTGCTTTACATTTACAGGGCGTGCTCACACCCAGCTGTTAAATCTCTTACAGCAACCATGAGATGGAGCTTTATACTATCGACAAAGAGAAAATTCAAGGTCAAACATCACTACAAGGGCCTGGATATCACAGTAGGCACTTGAATTTCTGCCTTCTGACCTCAAATCCCAGGCTACTTTCCTTAATTCATGTGTATTCATGACCATCCCTAGAGGAAAAAGGAAAATGTAGCATGGTTATGGCATGGTGGTTATAGACCTAATCACTGAATGTTGCTTTCAATGAAATGCTCTTTAAAGTCTCATCTAAAATATTTTTCAGTGTAACAAATTTATCATAGTGAACACTTTTGGAAGGGCTGTTAGAAGAAAAGCCTTGGTATGGATATATATGTCTTCTTTTAGGTAAATACCTAACAGTGAAACAAGTGTGTGCCTAAATTTGGAGGTTCTAACAGGTGTCTCATTGTGGCTTTAATGTGCATTTCCCTAAAATTAATCATGTGGAACATTGTTTCACACCTGCATCTGTGTGTCCTCTTCGATGAAGTGGCTGTTCACGCCTTTTGACAGGCACTTGCTTTTCATCCTTGTGCCAACACTATGTACTAGGTATAGATACCATTATTATTATCTCCTCTTCCTTGAACATTAAGAGACTCCCATTGCTTGGCCAACTTTGCATATATTGTAAGCAGCACAGGTGGGCTCTGAGCTCCTGATTCTGTGTGCTTGATCTCTGCTTTTTATTTATGTAAATCTGAAGCTTTTCTCATAAGTTCTATTGGTCCAAGTAATGAATATGGCAGACAATGAGTGTGAAATGTGGAACTGATGGGGAAAATCTATGAACAGGGGTGTGGTTGTATCTCTGGAGACCTGCTTTGTCCACCAGGCAGACAGGAGAAACAAACACCATCCCTAAGTGTACAAATGCACAGCCCAAGACCATGCACACAGTGGCCATCCACTATCTTGGACTTCAAGGGCTAAGCAATGTGATTGGTGGGGAGGAGCTGACAGCAATAGTGAAGACGGATGATGTCACTGAATGCTCTAAAGTTCCTTTCTTTAGGGTCTCCATGAAGAATGGCACAGGCCTCCAGGGCAGGCTTATAATTAGGTATTCCCTTAAACTGATATCCTTTAAATGTTTCCTCAGTATTCGTTTAGTGAGGGTAGGCAGAAACTAATTTTCTTTGAATAAAGAATGAAGAGCTTTCTTTAGATTAAAAAATAAAGGATTTAGGGGCTGGTGTTGTGGTGTAGCATGTAAAGCCTCTGCCTGAGGTGCCGACATCCTATATGGGCACCGGTTGGAGTTCCGGCTGCTCCATCTCCCATCCAGCACTCTGCTATGGACTGGGAAAGCAGTGGAGGATGGCCCAAGTCCTTGGGCCCCTGAAGCCA